GTGTGTGTGTGTGTGTGTTTGTGTGTGTGTGTGTGTTTGTGTGTGTGTGTATGTGCCAGACAAATGTGAACTCGCAGTCGAGCGTCGCAGTGTAGAGTGGAGTAGTAAATCGAAGTCGAGCGTGGTATTGCAAGAAAGTAGTAAAGTCGAAGTCGAGCGTAGAGTAGCGTAGGGGTCGAAACATGCGCGCCGCCGTGCGTAGGATTTTCCCGTGCCGCCACCCAAAAGGGCAGCCTCCGGGAACCACTTTGCCCGTTGGGAAGCCCGTGCACAGAAACGGCCCGCTCCAACGGGCAAGCAAACCGGTTTCCGGCGAAAGGCCTCGATCGGGTCCTGCCTGATCAATCTGGGCCGTCGGGCCCAAGGTACCGGGCCAACAGCCTGGATTGACGCGTGATCTTAAGATCTTAAGACTGCGCTCCAATCCGGCCCGTCGATCCGGCAGGACCCGACGGCCCGGATGACAGATTTGTTACATGATTCGGTCGATCTGGGCCGTGGGCCGGTAGGACCTACGACGGCCCGGATGTCAGGTTTGTCCCCTTAGCGATTTTAATAGTGTAGGGAAGATGGTCCACTCTATGGGTGAAGATGGTCCACTCTATGGGTCAAGATGATCCACTCTATGGATCACGATGGTCCCCAATCCATGGGTCAAGATAGTTCACTAAAACGGCCAAGATGGTCCACTATGGGTCCAGACGGCCCATTCCATGGGTTAGGATGGTACACATCCCATGGCTCATCTTATCTCCCCTCATCCGACTTGGAATTCTTGTTACTGCCCTTTCCTCCTGTCTATGGGCACCGGTTCCCTGACCATCCGCTTAATTAGACAACCAGATTCGGTCTACCATCTAGCGTGACCGACTCAGTGGGGATGGGCAGGGAAAAAGTGGATTAGGGCCAGAGGGGAAGAAAGTTAAATACGGAAATGGCCAAGTGCACTGGAGGTTAAGATGGACGGAGACGCGGGGGAGGAGGGGGAAGAAGAGGGCCGGAAGGAGGGAGGGAGGAGGAAAGAATATGTGGTGTGGTGTACGTGAGAGGAGAGTTAACAAACAGAGATACTTCGAACACTCGAACCGGTCTAGGACCCATTGAGGGGACCCTACCCGTGAGACGACGTTAGGTCATTTCATACCTTACATGACGGCCAGATTCCAGTCACAACATCTTGAACACGTCGGACAGCTGCTGACCGCATTTCCTGCTCCTGCTCCGTTGGAGTGACAAAGTCCATAAAATCAACGATATCTGCAACGGCATGACCCACCGATCAACAGTATACAGTCATCCACCTTAGCCAAATTCATTCTCACATGCCGACCGGTCCACGACCGAAACACTCCTCAGGCATTCCCCAACCTTCCCCCTCTCTCTCTCTCTCTCGGCATGATGCGGAGAGAAAAATTTATTAGAAAGTGACGTCACTCTGACGTCAGCCTATCATCTTTCTACTTTGTTGCTCACCTGGTCACCTCTTCCCACTTCTCGTTCGATTGGTCGCTCATCACAGAGGTTGCCATCAGCATACACAGCAACCGCCATCAGGACCTTACACCACCAACGTTGATCTTCACCATATTCGCATTCTCGCGACCACCCTCGCGATCACTGTCCGCCGCCATCCTGTATACCGATCAACCTTCACAATCCTCGACATCACCATACGACAATCCCGCTTGTGCATCTTCGGGACTGTTGTATACGGACTGGTATCACGCAGTTCGAACCGGGATTGGAAATTATAACTGAATGGGCATTACGAGTTGTATCTTTATCCACATTTACCGGTACTACATCCCCCCAGGTTCCCGATTGATGCTCTCTCTCTCTCTCTCTCTCTCTCTCTCTCTCTCTCTCTCTCTCTCTCTCTCTCTCTCTCACACACACACACACACACACACACACACACACACACACACACACACCCGCACACACACACGCACCCGCACACACACGCACCCGCACACACACACAAACCCGCACACACACACACACACACACACACACACACAGAAAGACGAATGCTACGAAATAAATACAGAAAGACGACTGCTAAACCATAAGCAAGACATACTGACACTAGACTTCCGGGCCTCTGGCCGTAGTTAACGTCCACATAAAAACCCCCACAGTGCGTTCGTAATTACCAATTACATCGAGAATACTTGTAATTAGTCGAATAGTGAGATCGTACCAACGAGCTTAGCTCAGTTGGTACACCCATGTACCGTTGAAATACACACCTGAGTTCGAATCCTGATGAATCTAAAATGAAGCCAGGGGACGGTTAACTCGATGATGATATCTCAAGGCCGTTGCCTTTTTTTAAAATCAAGAGAAAAGGAAAGACGGGGGGAAAAAAAAGTGAGATAGGCCAATCTACGGCTCCTAATTCGTGCTGCTGAATGGTCGAGGGTGGCCCTCTCATTAAATTCAATTCCAATTCAATCAAGACAAAAAAAAAAAAAAAAAAAAAAAACAAGGATGGCCATTGATAGCAAGAACGACATACGACGAAGGCCGTACTCACGGAAGGACTCTTCGGATTTTACTAAGTACATCTCCCGAAACCATGTTGGGAATATGTCCTAATTCAAGCAGAAGAAAAAGACATGTCGGCCGCACGGTGAGCGAGAGAGGATGGGGGAACGGGGGGCAGCGGGGCGGATCATAGACTGAAAGGACAGATGCCTCTGACCTAACTCGTGTAATACTCATGCTAACCACCCCCCCTCGTTTCCCCCCACCCGCCTCTCCCCTACCTCCCACAACATATACTTTGTGATAGTCATATACACATATTATAATAATAAAATGAACCGAAATAATGCCAAATAACATCAAACTCAATCTACACATACATTCCAAATCACCTGCTATAAGTAACTACTTTCTATCTGATTGGATGGCTGGATGGTCGGATGGTTGGTTGGTCAGTGCTCTGATACAGCAGAGATGTTAATAGGCACGCCAGCTATACCCGCGCGCCGATTCATACCATATCCCCCCGGAGAGAACCTAACCCTAAACCTTAAACCATACCTGCTGCACCATCCCCAACCCCCGGAGAGAGCCTAACCCTAAACCCTAAACCATACCCCATACCTGCTGCACCCCAGCCCCAACCCCCGAAGCTCACTGGCGCAAAACCCACCTGCCGTACGCTCGGATACGATGGCCGGCAGCGGCCATCCGCCACAAGCCCTCGCATCGGGATCGGGGTACAGCGGGTGGACTGCGTCCCTGGTCCGTCGGCGGTCAGTCGGGGTCCCACGTACACTCTTACTATTACCCACCCTCGCCCGATTCTTCTGCATTTCTGAACGGCAGACAGCAGCTCAGATCACCGCGGATCGCTAATCGACCCAAGGTCAGAAACAAAGACAGGGAGAACTCATTCAAACATGAAAGAAAATGTGACAGCTCACACACACACACACACACAAAAAAAAAAAAAAAGACAGCTTTGACCCAAGGCCTCTCTTTCTGTCGAGATTACTCACGAACGCATATCGAGTCCAGGCAGCGCCGCCGGTCAGGTTCCCCCCCCCCAAAAAAAGGCGAAGATCCCATTGAGCGGAACTTTCGAGCTGTTCTCAGCGCGTACTCACACTACACTGGACCTCTTTAACTTATCTATGGACGTAATTACGGTCAGATTCATTAACATCCGGCCGTAAATGAGGTCAAACACATATAAGATAGAGATAGTGTGAGTAACCCCTCATTCTCATTCCAATCATCGGACTCACGATAACACTTCATCCGTATCTGAAGGACCAGCTTTCTCTGTGTCTGTTTTTTTCCTGTTTCTGACCGTCCATCCTCGATCTCCATGATCTACGGTCCACAAATGCAGAATCCGACGGGGGCGGGAATTTGGGACCACCCCGCCCCCGGTAAGTAGTCATTTGGTAAGTAGTCATTCAGTCGAACGGAACATCAAGATTCTACAGAGACAGATGCACATACCCCCCTAACAACAAAAGACGCAGACCCTGACAAGCCCAAAACAACGAAGAAGGAGAAGGAGGAGAAGAAAAAAAAGAAGAAGAAGAAGAAGGATAGTGTATAGTGGAAAACAATGGCCAACTGCCTTTCGTACACGCATCGAAAGCTCTTCATTACAAAGCCGCGCATACTCGTCTCAGCTCTCGCGCACAATCCCCGACGCGTTTCGATCGGTTGCGCTCCGATCATCCTCAGGGGGCTATCCTCATTCCCCGCCTTGCGGCACCGCCGTCTATCCTCCCGTCTTACTGAGTATCAAGAACAAGAAGAAGAAGCATGCTTAGCATATTCAACAATAGAGTCTAGAGTGAAGAAGAATAGATGATGATGATGATGAGTCTAGAGTGAAGAAGAATACGTGATGATGATGATGATAATGGTAGGCAAAGAGCAACGATTGAATGAGAAGGGAATGAGTGAATGAATGGCGAGAAACAGATCACGCAATGAATGCACATTGCGCGATGCGAAAAAGTTCGTGTCGAGGACGAAAAGGGGAGAGGGAAGGAAGGGGAATGTTACGTATTCACTTTACTGTTGGACTATTCAATGTTACTAGTAAATACTTACTTCATGACAAACACTACGAGTATTCGATTATTTAATACTAGACGTCGATTACTCGTGTGAATCGTCGATTTGTAGTTTATAAAACCCATATTGGAGTAAGATGCGTTCCTCCCACTACATTAGTGCGGCGATTGAATTTACTGGGGGTACCTCTCTTTCGAGAGAATTCTGTTAAGGTTCGATGACCACGTCACCCTGGCGATCTGAGTATCTTCTAACTACTTATTCCTCGACACTACCTAATTAGTCCTATTAACAAATTAATTAGTCCTATTAACTAACTAATTAGTCCTATTAACTAACTAATTAGTCCTATTAACTAATTAGTCATATTAATTGACTAATTAGACATATTAATCAACTAATCAGTCATATTAATTAACTAATTAGTCATATTAATTAACTAATTAGACATTAATCAACTAATCAGTCATATTAATTAACTAATTAGTCATATTAATTAACTAATTAGTAACTACTATAAAACCCACGTCGGTAGGACTAAATTGAGTTCCTCTCACTACAGTAGTGCGGCGATTGAATTTACTGGGGGCGCCTTCTTTTCGAGGGAAATCTATTCGGTTCAATGACCCCGTCACCCTGGTGATCTGATTATCTTTATCTTCTAAATAATTAGTCCTATTAACTAACTGCTTAATAGGACTATTGACTAGCTAATTAGTCCCATGAACGGTCTAATTAGGAACTAAGCAGTCCTATTAACTAATTAATTAGTAATACTAACTATTATAAGTACTATCAGCTAACTACTTAGAACTACTAATTACTTGATAAGTATGTCCGACGTCATATCTGTGGTTGTCAGCTAATTACTGTAGTACTACCGACGTGATATTACCTGGTTGCTATTTAATACCCTATAATCAATCAATTACCTCACATACACATTCTGTGATATGATTAGTATGTACAAAATTAATTACTTGATAAGTACTACTTAGCATAAACTGATTGTACTAATTAGCACGTAATCGAAGGAACTAGTCGTAATTGATGGCTTACTAAAACCCGTACACTCGTGCTACGTAGGACTTTTCAACCCAACCTTGCGCGCAATTGCGGTCAGATACATACATCCTAGAAAGTCCTCATGTAAGTATTATGCCCTTATTCTGGCTAAGCTATGTCCTCGTGTGAGTATGTCCTTACTCTGACTAAGCTATTAACTTGGTTCCATCGACCGTAATTACGGTCAGATGCATCCATCATCTCAGAACTTGGCTCAATCGACCTCGTCCCAAGGCACTGGTGTATACGAAAGAGGTGGAAAGGGAGGGGGGGGGGGTAGCAAAGCGAAAAAGAGAAGGGTGTGATCGACCTTGTTTCTGTGCGCTCCAGACGTCCATATACATTTCTTTTCTTTTTTTCCCCCCTATCACAATGTGTCCGTCAATTAATTACTTTATTAATTAAGTGATCTAAAGATTATGCGAAGTTAGCCTAATACTAGTATTTCCTTCACACGATGAAACGGGGAAATGGGAACAGGAACGAATTATTTAACACCCTACCAGACAGTCTTTTTTTTTCCCCCCTCCCCCACCATCCCAGCAAGGCATACATCGGCTTTTTCCTTTTCCTTTGCTCTTTTCTTCTACCTTCCCTTCATTTTTCTTTTTCGTTCCACCCCCTCCCACCCCGCCCCGCTTCAAAAGAATCCCAGCCATGCGTGCACTGTGGCTTTCAATTTTCCTTTCCTTTTTCCTTTTTTTTTCCCCGTTTTCCTCCTTTTCTTACCCGCACCCCCCCCTCAAAAGAATCATCCCATCCATGCATACAATGGCTTTCCCTTTCTTTTTCTCCCCCCCCCCAAAAAAAAAAAAAAATCCATTCCTATACACTCACCCTGATGGAGTTGAAGCAAGGGGCTTCTGAGGAAGACGCCCTTTCTGCCCACAGGAGTCCATGGCTGCAGGTTCCGAAGACGACGATCATCCACTTCTCCTATTTCTCCACCTCCTGTTTGCGCTAACCTTTCCTTTTCGGCGCCGTCATCACTGCCTGCTGCTGCGTCATCAGCCCCTCTGGCGATGGCGATGGCTGCCGCTCCATGCTTCCCTCCAATATCTTCATCGGATTGATCACCGAGCGCGAGATACTCCTCGAAAGCACCATCACCCAATCCTTCCTCATCTTCTAGTGGCTCCGAAATGCCATTCTCTCCTTCACTCTCTTTCTCTCCCTCCTCTCTCTCCGTCTCCTCTGCCTCTTCCCCCACCTCTTCCTCCACATCCGCAGTCAACTCCTCCTCTCCCTCCTCTCCCTCCTCTTCCCCTTCCTCCTCTTCCCCTTCCTCCTCTTCCCTTTCCTCCTCTTCCCTTTCCTCCTCTTCTCCTTCCTCCTCTTCCCCTTCCTCCTCCCCCTCTTCCGCCTCCTTCTCCTCCTCTTCCGCCTCCTTTTCCTCCTCCTCCTCCTCCTCTTCCTCCTCCTCAGCGTCGCCCACCATATGCTTCACGACCTCCTCCTCCTCCTCTTCTAGCTTAACATTACTCAATCGCCTCCCCTTTCCTCCCTCCTCCTCTTCATCATCAATCACTATGAGATGGACTTTCTTCTTCCTCTTCTCCTTCACGACGTACACGTCATCATCCTCGTCATCATCTTCGTCCTCGATATAAATGGTGTCCACGTAAGACGAGCCATCCCCATCAGCGGCGCCCATCGAGTCCTTCATCCCATCTTCCTTCGAGGGGGCCATGGAGGCAGACGAACCACGACGGCGCCTTTTCCTCAGAATAGTGTCGGCCCAGAACTCTTTCCTACCACCTGCTTCTCCTAATTCTCCCTTTCCCTTTGCGTGATCCATCCAACCCAGGGACGGATCATTCAAAGGAGGAAGAGGAAATCGAGCGGGCATAATACTCCCGCGCGACTGCTCCTTTCCTGCCGTATCCTCTTGCCCACCGCTCTCCCCTTCATCCCCTCCCTCCCCTTCCTCCCCTTCCCGTGTTTTCCCGTGATCGTTCAGTATACCCCCCTCCTCACCCACCCCTCCTTCCGTCTTTACCTGCTTCCTCTCACGCTCTGACTCTGACATCCCTCCCTCGTGCTCATCATCTGCTCCCTCCCCCTCGCCGCCTCCTCCTCCTCCTCCTCCTCCCTCCTTTTGCCTCCTCCTTTTCGCCTCATCGGGGTCTAACCCCGCCTGTGGTGTCTTGCTTCTGTCACCTGGATCATCATCAAATCCGCTCGGCTGTGCCAACAACGGAGCGAGCTTGAAGTACGAGAAGCTTCCACAACTGTGGCTCATGGTCGACGGAACGCAGAACCTGTTCAATTCTTCCGTTTGTCGTTTTCCAGAACCGGGTCAATCTGAAACGGAGCCTCCGTTTAACCAATCAAACAAATAATTATAATTAATAAATAAAACAAAAACGAAAGAAATAGGCACTATCACCTGCGTGGTCCGTTAGCAGACCTGCGGCAACGGCGCCACCCCATCCATCCAGGAACGTCCAGGAACAACTGCGCACGCGCCGCCGTTTCCACGACTATTGCCTATAGCAGTGCCTTTGAGGCTTTGACCTGCGCACGCCGGGGTTTCACCACGGTTATTGACTTCAGTTCACGACGACTATTGCCTATAGCAGTGCCTTTTGAGGCTTTGACCTGCGCACGACGGCTATTGCCTTCAGTTGGTTAGCAGTTTGCCTGCTGCTTCTGTCTGCTACGTCGCACGCAGCCTATGCGCGACAGACATGCGCGGGGCGCGGGCGACCCACGCGCTTTTCCCCTTAATTTCTCCTTATTATTCCAGGGGTTGGCCCGCGCAGATGAGACGACCAATGTTTCTCCCCGTGTCCATTTGACTGCGCTGCGCTTGCCATGCCGCTCGCAGCAGGCAGGAGGCAGGAGGCAGGTAGTCCTCTCTGGCCACCCGCCTTCAACCGTCTGCGACCTTCCGTCAACGCAAGAGTCAAACAAACAGCGGTGCCCCCATGACCCTGGGGATTCCTTGACAATCTGAATAGGAGTCGTGAATAGGTAGGTAGTGAGAGGTGAAATTGAGAGAAGAATATACCTCAGCTTTATGAAAAACAAGGGGGAAAAAAATGGGTCCCCTGTAGAGGCATAGGAGTCGTGAATAGGTAGGTAGTGAGAGGTGAAATTGAGAGAAGAATATACCTCAGCTTTATAAAAAACAAGGAAAAAAAAAAGACTGACCTACGGTATGTGATCTGATGAGGGGACCTGCCTCTACAGGGGACCCCTGCAAGCACAGCTACCTCTCACAATCAAGGGGATGCATGCTGCCCCCCGCCCTCATAGGCAGTGGTCAGGGAGCAGGATGGGACTGCCGAAAGGGGGCGGTGGGGGCGCACCTAACCCAAAGACCGACCATTTTGCCAGTAGCTGCACCTCCCATCTACTTTCCCCGTCCCCATTGAGTAACAGCAGTGTCTATGACCAACAGGCCTCATGAACTGTTGAAAGACCAGACCTGAGTTCAAATCCAGATGCAGCCAGATGAATAGAATAAGAAAGTTCTGAATTACTTGGGGCTGGTCAATTCAATGATTAAATCACAACAGCAGCGTCTATGGCCAGCACTCACACACCACACACAACCCCCTGCCCCCCGACACACACACACACACACGCACACACACACGTCCCGTGAAGGCCAAATACCCTACCAATACCAACTGGGGAGACCAAGCCAACTATTTCAGTTGGTTGGCACTGAGAGTGCCCAGGCGCTAAGCAGGGGATTGAACCCACGACCTTTTGAATGCCAGTTGCATGCTTCTAACTGAGCTAGGCCGCTTGCTCATATCGCAGGTCAGTCAGCTGGGGACGTGATTCCATTTCCTTTTTCTTTTTGGGGGGGGCAAAGGCATCATTTCATCCGAAGGAAAAAGGCATCACTTCATTTATACTCCAAACAAGGCCCGGGCGAGGCCGGGCATGAGGTCCCATTAGCAACAGGTTAAAATCTACCCTGCAATGACTTGTGATCCCACGGTACGTACTACCTGAAAAAAGAAAGAGATCTTAGTTCCTATCCACCAGTACATCCAAGCCTTAAAGCCACTAGTATTATCATCGGACGCCCTTCAAGACATCCGTTCGAATTGGAACGATACCAAGAAGATTAGAATGGCCCTTGTGCAAGGATGACACACACGAATTGAGAAGTATTAACCAGCCCAGGTAAATTCAATGTATAATCTGACAGGGTGGCCTTCTTGCCCTCAAGGAACCTCGAGCAGCCATATATGCTGAGATGAGACCATGTGAGGCTGCACCCAGCCTCACAACGACAAGGTGGGCGACATAGGCCAAGGGTCAGCCGGTAGCAGAGGGACTGAGCATCATCTAAGCCAGTCGCTGTGCCTCCCCGATTACCCCTTCCCCTAGCAGTGACTGCTTAATGTTGATCGAGGGACCAACGGGTTATCGGTAGTTTGTCGGCGCCAAGCATGGGCAGGAAGGTACATGAGGCCAATGGGGACTGATCCTATGACCTCCTCAATGCCACTTGTGTGCCTTACCAACTGAGATAGCCCGCTGGTTACTCCATGATAATATCTCAAGGCCATCACCCTTTCAAAAAAAAAAAAAAAAAAAGAGGACCTGCTGCAAGCAGATGGAACAAAAAGGAGGCTGTTGTTTTCACACACGTACCACCCCAGCCTCTTCAAAGAGCAAAGAACCAGGGACGTTTTGCCACCAAAACAAAGGAAAAACCCAATAACAACAAACAAAAATAAAAGATAGATTCCTTCCACGTTCATTTTTTTTGTGTTGGATGTATCTGACCGCAATTGTGTCCCGAGATGAGTACGAAAAGTGCTGGTGTAAATGCGCTCTCACTCCCCCAGCCTCGCATAGGGTTGTAATAAGCGAGAATGTTTTGTTAGCAAATCAAAGGTCAAAACACGGGGAAAAAAATAGATTTCTCTCACGTTCATTTTTCTTTGTTCGATGTATCTGACCGTAGTTACACCCCGAGATGGGTAAGACAAGTGTTATTGTGAACACGCTCTCACCGCCCAGCCTATCAAACGGTTGTGAGAAAGGGGATGTTTTATAAACGAACCAATGAAAAATGGAAAAAAAAGAAAGGGAAAAAAAAAAAAAACAAGATAGATTTATGCAATGTTCATTTTTTTTTTGCATCATGGAATAAGTGAGACAAAGTGATAGTGTGAGGACACCCGAACAAACACCCTTACAAGGGTGTTTGTACATATAATGTGCATTCACAAACACTACGTAGCACCGTGTTCATGTTCGGAGGCGAACGCGAACATGTTCGCCCGAACGCGAACAAGCGCCCAAAACCCTCCGAACGCGAACGTAAAAATTATCAAAAAAACAAAAACAAAAAAAGTTCTCAGAAAAATCTGAAAACAATATATGTTATGCAAAATAACAATACAAGCAACTTTTTTTTTTTTTTTACAAAAAAAAAAAAATGTTCGCCCGAACATGTTCGCAAGGTGTTCGCGCGAACTTGCGAACACGTTCGCGCGAACATGAAGGGGCGCGAACACGTTCGTCGTGCTACGCAGCACAAACAGTACTCAACACACCAACTACGAAGGCGGGAAGACGATCGAACCGACAGCGTACAGAGCACGTGCCTTGGCCCAACATGCGATAAAATTAAGAAATTATTAGAACCCTTCCCCGACCGTGGAGATCAAGAGATCGGTTGAATTCACGGCGTGTTGTTGAAGTTGACGGCAGGCGCGTGAGCCTCAGGGTTAGGTCAATGACTCTCGTAGTGACAAATATAGGTTAAATTAGGATAGGCTCCGACCGTACAGTTAGACATAGGCCCCTTTCGTAAGAAGGGCATAGTAGTTGGCATAACATGACAACTCAGTAGTTAGATTTCATTATTTTCTTTCGTTTTCTTTTTGTTAATTGTTTATTTCCTTAAATTTAGGGTTATATTTTTTTTCTTATTTTATTTGTATGGATGTAAAATACTTTTGAATTTTTAAGAGATTGTGCAGCAAATTCATCCCCACGAGGAAGATTAATCCGTGGCAATTTTAGGTGGATCTATCCATAATGTGATTACATTCCAACTAACATACCTTCGTAAGGGAAAGAGAGAGAGACGATCTACCGTAGAGAGAGAGGGATCTACCGCGGGGAGGAAAGCACGTGACCGTCTAGAGGGAAGCGACCAATGCACGAAAGAAGAAAAGCGCTAAGAGAAAGAGGTAGATGAACGAAGGAGGGACAAAAACACATATGAGCGCAAGGCAAGAAAAAAATGACATGTGCAAATAAAAAAAACGACAAACGCACAGGGAGGGTAAAAAGCACACAATGGAAGAAGATTAATGTACGGTGTAAGAAGAAGAAGAGAGCGCCGATAGAGGAGGCGAACGCGGAGCTGAAGAAAATCATGTAGGACGAGAATAAAAATGATGTGAACAAGACATGTATCTGTGTTTAAAAAAAAAATGTTATCCGGTCAGAGTTTTCAAGAATATTGTTTTTGCATTGTGATTAGAGGCGTTGGAAGGACTTCATTATTAAAAGACATCGATGTTTTTCTCGCTTCTATTTGGCGTGCATTTCACTGCGATTTATTTTCTCAATAATATCTGGTCTTCTACGAGATGTTGCAACTTGGTTTATTATGAGATTGTTTCATATATGGCCTCAATCATGGTTAGATATAGCATGTGTGAGAAAAAGAAGAATGTTGTTGTAGCAAACACCGTTACAAGGGTATTTGCTCGTGTTTTTACGTGTCACATACAGTGCAGCCGATGCACATGCGAGCGAATCCATTTGCGTGGCATGTGCCCCTGGCTATGATGGATGATACAAACAGGTAGATAAATTTTGATTATAATGCGGTCGCGTTATTGTGGAGCGTTATAGGGCAATCAAGATTCTTAAGAACATCATCGACTGAAGAGTCGATCTGGGATTATAAAACGCACGACTATGTGCGTGAAATAACCTTAAGTCATTATGCGACATGACAAGTGCTGGAACGCAGGGCGGAATTAAAATAAGACCCGACCATCGAGCCGAGGTGGTTATGGGACGTGGATGTCAGCGTGAGTAAGGTTGTTAAAGCTTGTGACTGAGAGGGTCAGGGCGGTTGAAGGAGCGGTTTCATTTAAGTAAGGGTTTGCCCTTTGCTGGAAGCAACGCCTCCTATTTTATTTTGTTACCATTTTATTAGTGTGATAAGATTAAAAGTTGATATATATCCTCATCGCAAGGTATAAGTGTGCAAATGTGGGTTTGTGACCTATTAGAATAGGTGTATACGAAACTTGAGTATCCATCGTTCAACGGTTTTGTATAGTTACTAGTTCGTAAAGTTGTGGGTTGAGTTTGTATCCCAGCAGACCTGACAAACTAAAATGATTTTTTAAAATTGAAATACCTCGCACAATCGATAA